CCCCCGACCCCCAACATCAGTGCCTGCCATATTCCGGTACTGACCTAAGTTTCAGAAACATAACCAGACTTCTAGCTTAAGAAGTCATTACCTGAATCGTCAAGAAAAGATTATATTGTGTTACACATATTCTGTTCAAGAAAGCCACAGAGTTTTAAATACATTTTAGAAAGACTTAATGTTTTTCAAAAAGCATACCGCAGGGATTTGGAAAATCACTATCTCTGAAATACCTCATTCCCTGACAACTTCAGATAAAAAACATGCTTATTTATGAACATAACTCAACCAGTGATGATTTGAAGAAAACATTTGAAGGATGAATTTAGTTTGATAATCTGGGGGACCCAGTTTTTATATTGTGGCTCAGAATCAAAGTTGTTTTTGTTTTTTGCTTTTTTTCTAAATAAAAATAGGTTTTCCAGAAGAGTGGAAGCAGGTGATTTTCCACAAGAGATTTATGAGAAATAAAACATATCTCTATTTTTTAATGAAAAGTTATATTCCAACAAATAGACCAAATGTTTCCTCTAAAAATAAAGATAACCAATAATTTAATAGAAATATAAAGCCTCCTAAAATTACTCTTAGAAAATTTGAATGACATTTACCAAACCAATATTTCCCTTCAAAAGATGTATATGCGTATATATATGAACCATTCATTGTTTTTAGCTAACAAAGTTGTATTGGCCAATCTCTGGCAGTTACTGGTGTAATAATGACTAATGTCCCATCATCCTGAGAGCGTCTTTCTGAAAAAACAACTTTATTGAGATATCTTTGGCACAAAAATTGTGTATATTTAAGGTGTACAATTTGATGTTTTAATAAATGTATACATTGTGAAAAGATCACCATCAAGCTAAATAACTTATCTGTCACCTCTATATAGTTAGCATTTATGTGTGTGTGTGGTAAGAAGATTAAATTTAAGATATATTAGCACATTTCAAATGCACAATAGAGTATTGCTAATTAACATCACCATGCTGTACATTAGATCTCCAGAACTCATTCATCTTGCATAACTGAAACTTTGTACTTTTTGACCAACATCTCCTCATTTCTCCCCCTCCCTTTATACCCTCATTTGACATATGAATGAAATCATACAGTATTTGTTTTTGTCTGGCTTATTTCACTTGGCATAATGTTCTCCAGCTTCACCCATGCTATCACAAATGGCAGGATTTCCTTTTTATTTTTATTTTTATTTATTTAAATGTTTTATTTATTTAAATGTTTTATTTATTTTTGAAAGAGAGAGAGAGAGAGAGAGAGAGAGAGAGAGAGAGAGAGAGAGAACAAGTGGGGGAGGGGCAGAGAGAGAGGGAGACACAGAATCCGAAGAAGGCTCTAGGCTCTGAGCTGTCATGTCAGCACAGGATTTCCTTTTTAAAGGCTGAATAACATTTCAGTGTGTGTGTGTGTGTGTGTGTGTGTGTGTGTGTGTGTGTGTGTGTGTGTACATTTCTTCATTCATTTGCTAATGGACATTCAAGTTGTTTCCATATGTAGGCTATTGTGAATAATGCAGCAGTGAACATGGAAGTGTAGATATCTTGTCAAGAACCAGGTTATTTTCCTTTGGATATAAAGCCAGAAGTGGGGTTGGTAGATCATATGGTAGTTCTATTGTTTATTTTTTAAAGGAAGCTCCATACTATTTTTCATAATGGCTATACCAATTATAATTGGAGGGACAGAGACATGTGAAAATCACGTGCAGTAAGTGACATGATTATAACTGTGCTATAGGACGATGAATCTGGAAGAAGTGTGTAGAATATACTAGAGAGACCTGAGAATCCACATTAAAAAGTATGGACAGCTTGGACTAGTGATTTGGCATTGGCAAGAGACAATAGGATCAAATACTAGAGTGATAAGGAGGGTGACTGTAAAATTAATGAGTGTTAGTGATATATGGAAATTAGGGCAATGGATGGGAAGGAATCAACTATATATGCTGAGATTTTGATGAATGGAGTGGTGGTACTTCCTGACAGAATTAGTGAGGATAGGAGGGTGAAAAGTTAGAATGGAGCGAGAATTATCCGGTGGTATATATAGAGAGAGGTAACAAATGTGATAAGGTGAGATTTGATGGCATTGCTTAGAGAGAAAGCATAGGGAAAGAAGACAGAGGGATGAGGTCAGAATGTTGCAGAACATTTCCCTTTAGTAGGCGGGAGGTCATAGAGAAGTCCAAGAAGGAGTAGTTACGGCAAAAGAACAAGGAGAATCCAATAGCACAGAGGATAGAGGAAAGGAGAGTGTTTTTAAAAAGAGAGATGATCAACCCTGGGAAATATTACAGGGAAACAGTGGCAGGGAAGAACTGATGACTTAGCAGTGGAAAGTCATCAGCTTTTTAGAGTGGTTTCAAAGAGATGGAGATGGAAACCAAGATTGCAAGGAAATTTCAAGGAATCTGATGTTTAACAGAGTGAGAGATCCATTGATCCATAAATAGGTCGTGATAAGATGACAGCAGTGCATGGTCAAGGGAAGATTTTTAGAAGGGGAAGAGACTTGAGTTATAGACCAAAGTTATATTCCAAGAGAAGGGGAGACGCACAGAAAGCAGACTGATGGAATGAGATCCCAAAGGATGTGGCGAAGGATGAAATCAAGGACATCAACGGAGGAAATAACCCTGGGGAAGAGAATGTATCTTAGCCTGAAGTTGAAGGAGGGGAAAGAATTTGTGAAGTGAATGAGAAATGTGAGGTGGAGAAGAGGAAGAATGGGATGGGGGTGGGGGTGGTTCATGTCTAATACCTCAGCTGTCTTAGTGACGTATGAGGACAGGAGACTGGTTCCGTGCCCCTTTCCATGCACTAGAAGGACCTTACCTTCTCTTATCCAGTAGCCAGACAGAAAATTTATTTTGTGAATATATTTTTCTTATTTTTTAGGGATATTTCTTTTCTGTATGATGTTAAATATGTTAAAGGAGAGACTAGGGAGAGTTCGCTTTGTCCCCCACGTTTGGACCGTTCATTACAGTCAAATGATGGTGTCATTGTGCCTCATAAGGTAAATAGAGTATTTGACAAATAATTTCCTCTTTCTGTACTTGAAAAAAGTACATTTTTTTTATTTTTTTCCACTGCTAATTTATTACATATCATTTCCTTAAAATATAAAGCAATGTTGTACTATAACTGTATTGCTTATTAGTTTTGTAGCACTTTCTAATTATTTCTAGGAAAGGGTATTTAGTGTGAAAAGATCTAGAATACCTTATTTATCTAAGTGGATAACTATATAACTATAGTTACAGAAATCTAGAAAATACAGTATAGGAGACTGGATTTTTTTTTAATTTACTGTTTAAGGCTGTAGAATTCTTATTTTTGGCATATTGCTAAGGTGAATTTTAGAGTCAGTGGGTTACTGAATGTAGGGACATGTGTAAATAATACTAAAACCAAGGCTCTTTAATTTACGGTTATTTTTTTAATGTGTTCTCTGCTAACAGTTTTTTACTACTTGCCATGATCCATATTAGTTACTGATACTGTTCTCTCTGTAATCAAAATCGCTTAACTTAATAAATAGTATCCCTTTGGGATAGGAGTGTTGATTTATGCAATTCAGTTTTTTTCATTTACTAATGTTTTCGTTCTTGTCCATCTTTCTTTTTAAGCCAAAGAAACTAACAGACACTTTGATTCCTGAAGAATTTCATATTGTGTCAAATACAGGAGTTTCAGGTTTGGAGTGTTATGATGAGTGAGTACTGTGATATGCACACACTGCCTATCTGACGGGTGGAACTGTTTCCTCCTTCCCAGACACAGAAGAACCTGAGAACGGTGCACCCATATCTACATTGAAATAGGGAAACATTTGGCTTTCCTTCCTAAATTTAAGAAAGGTGTCAAAAACTAATGAAAAAGTTTTATTGAAAAAAGTTTCGGATTTCACTGGTCAAATTGTTCTGTGTCTTTCCCTACTGTTTAATTTCGAAATAAACAATTGATCTTTAAAGAAAAGAAAAAGGAGCTTTGTTCTGAATGCTTGCCTGTGCCTCTTTAGCAATGGGTTTTGAGCCATGGCCATGGAGACAAAGGAAAGTAGCCCTGTGAGCTGACATCTCATAACTGACACACCCTTGATGGCTTCGCTCCAGCCTGTGCACTTGTCATCTCCAGTTTTCTTTGTCATCCTGCTTATGGGGTGAAAACTGGGATTTTGCTTATATTTGCTGAAACAGTGTGTGAATGTTTCATAGTTTAAACAACAAGAACTTTGGACTAAGGTCTTATAACAAAATCTCCAGAGGCTGTCTTGCCAGTTCATGTTATACGGCATGTCCTTATGATAGTGGCTTTCAGAACAATATTTTGCCAAAGAGAACTAAATGGAATTCATTTGGGGGGGGGGATTTTTTATTTTTATATAATTTTAAAAATTATATAAAAGTTATAAAAATAGGAAGGACAAGGAGCTCTCATGTACTCTCTATTTTAACTCACTAAGTATTTACATTTTGCCTTATTTGTTTTAAAATACACATATACATAAATACATTAAAACTATTCAGAAGTAAGTTGGAGATGTCCTGACCTGTTATCATCAAATATTGCAGTGTAAATTTCCTAACAACCCACCAGCTGTAGATATTTTTGATGACTTTTTTAGTGTCATCATTTCTCATCTGTTTATTAGTTAGCATTTTACCATATGGACTCAAGGATTTCTTTTTTTTTTTCCCCCAGGGAGTTATAATTCTTTACTGCGATTATTTATTTTTATGTTCAGGGGGTGCCTGGGTGGCGCAGTCGGTTAAGCGTCCGACTTCAGCCAGGTCACGATCTCGCGGTCCGGGAGTTCGAGCCCCGCGTCGGGCTCTGGGCTGATGGCTCGGAGCCTGGAGCCTGTTTCCGATTCTGTGTCTCCCTCTCTCTCTGCCCCTCCCCCGTTCATGCTCTGTCTCTCTCTGTCCCAAAAATAAATAAACGTTGAAAAAAAAAATTAAAAAAAAAAAAAAGAAAAAAAAAAACTTCTTTGATTTGGCCAGTGTTAGCTCCTTTGATCTGGCTTGTATTCTCTTTGGACATGTCCCCATCATTCTTTGAGTGTTTCCTTATTTTCTGATTCAATAAGATTTCCAGGTTCACCCTGTATTTCCCAAGTCAGGCTGTGGAATGAGCTATGTTGCTTCTCCTGGGAGTACTGATTCCTTTTGGTGGAGAATGGTACTTAGAAATCACGATCTGGATAGTGGATGTGTCCGTTGCTCCTGGGGTATCATTGCTTCTGGTTTCTCTCATTTTTGAAACTTTATTTTGAATTTTTATGTTCTCTGGAGATTTTTCACTGATCTAAATTCTGAAAGTGGACCTTATTAACCAACTTGAGTTCTGGTAAGGGGCAGAACCAAAGAAAATGTTATTAACTAGGGGAAGAAAAAGATACATAAATAATAATGAATTAGATGAATTACCATGTGGTTCTCATTGTGATACTCATTTAAATGTAAATTTAAATGTGATACTCATTTAGATATGGTTGGGAGTTAGGTAGACTGGGTTCTAGTTTCATCCTTGCTTATTTATTTTATAACCTGTTTCATTACTTAACTTTGTTGACTTCGGTGTTCTTAGAACACCCTTCCACCTTTGAAAAGGCATTTAAAAAGAAGAATCAAGAAAGTTTTCATATTTTAACATATGGAGAATGTGATTAAAGCTCCTTTAGTGAAAATACTCCAAATATGATAAATATCATTACATCTGTGTCTGTAGATATGTAGGTATGATCTTGTGTGTAAAATGATGCACTGTTTTGATTGCCTCCAAGCTTCTCCATTTGATTAGGTTTTAGGTTCATCATGTTGTCATATGTGATAAACAGGCCAGTTAATTTTCTCCCAGTAATATTGACCCGTTTTATTTATTGCAGCAAATATACTACTCTCCTCACAGATAATGAAAACAGGCTATTGCTCTTCCCATCCATGTAAGTATGGTTTATATTTGAAAGTATTTCTTAGAAGGAAAATATGCATATTTTTATTTTTCATAGTACTTTGTTATACAGAAAATATTAAAATTGTAGCAGAAACCCAATAATTGTCCACAATTCTATCATCTAATCAGTGTTTTCATTTGTCCAATTGCATATTCAATTTTACATATTTATAATATGTAAGTACTGTAAAATATTTTTTTCACAGTTTTAAATTTCTTTCTTCTAAAATTTTATTTTACTGTGGAAGGAACACTTAACATGAGATCTATCTTCTTAACAATTTTTTTTCAATACAGTGTCAATGAGTCTAGGCAACGTTGTACAGCAGACGTCTGCTACTATTGTCTCCTTTTTCCTTCTTCTTACCTCTCCTTTCCTTCCTATCTTCTCTCTTATCTTTCCTCCCTTTTCTTTTCTTACACTGTGAAGTAACCAGTATTAACAGCTTGGTATTTACCTCTCCACATTTTTCCTCTGTTCTTACAATCCTACACAAAGAGTGTAGAGAATTTTTGGAGGGAACTATTATTTTCTTTACAAAAAAGAGGATCATACTGTTTACATTCTCTTTTTCCTTTTTCTTCTTCTTTTTTTTAGTGTTATTACTGGTATAACCCACTAGATCAGTACAAGCGCTACTAGATGTAGTAGGGCTAATGCTTTAAAATATCACAAATATTCGATACTGTATACGTTTTCTGTATATTATATTCTTTTTGTCAGTTGAGGATGACCTGTTATAACACTAATATCATAAGTCTGCCACCTTAATCTTTTAGGAAACCTAATAAAAGAGTAGAAGTGGTCCAACTGAATGATGTGATGGACGCCATGCTAGAGAGGGCTGGTGTGGAGAATCAGGAATATACAGGGCCAACCAAGGTAATTGCAAAGATCATTGTAACCTAGTGGTTAAGAGCATACATTCTGAGGAGCGCCTGGATGGCTCAGTCAGTTGAGCGGTCGACTTTGGCTCAGGTCATGATCTCATGGCTCGTGAGTTAGAGCCCCGCGTTGGGCCCTGTGCTGACAGCTCGGAGCCTAGAGCCTGCTTCCCTTTCTGTGTCTTCCTCTCTCTCTGCCCCTCCCCCTCTCATGCTCTGTCTCTCTCTGTCTCAGAAATAAATAAACATTAAAAAAAAAAAAAAGCATGCATTCTGGGAGCCAGAAAGACTGGAATGAAACCCTGCCCTGCCATTTATTAGCTAGTGACCTTAGACAAATTATTTAATGTATTTGTGCCTCAATATCTTCATCTTTACATTAGAGGTAATATCTCATGAAGCGAAAAATAGAACTATCCTACGGTTTAGCAGTAGCACTATTAGGTATTTACTGAAAGGATACAAAAATACATATTCAAAAGGGTACATGAACCCCAAGTTTATAGCAGCACTATCAACAATAGCCTAACTATCGAGGGAGCCCAAATATCCATCAACTGATGGATGGATAAAGAAGATGTGGTATATATATACAATAGAATATTACTTAACCATCAAAAAGAATGAAATCTTGCCATTTGCAATGGCATGGATGGAGCTAGAATGTATTACACTAAGTGAAATAAGACAGACAAATATCATATGATTTCACTAATATATGGAATTTAAGAAACAAAACATGATGAACATATGGGAAAAAGGTGGAAAAAAGAAAAGAGGGAAACAAACCACAAGAGACTCTTACCAATAGAGAACAAACTGAGGGTTGACAGAGGGAGGTGGATGGGAGATGAGCTAGATGGGTGTTGGGTATTAAGGAGGGCATTTGTTGGGATGAGCACTGGATGTTGAATCACTGAACTGTGCTCCTGAAACCAGTATTGTGCTGTATGTTAACTAAAATTTACATAAAAGAAAATAAATTACCGGTAATAATAATATCTACTTCATAGGATTGTTGAGATTAAATAGCATATGAATATAAAAGGTTTAGATAGTGCTTGGCATGTAATAGACACTGTATAACTATTAGTATTATTATTACCGTATTTCATTGACTATAAGTTACCACTGATTATAAGCCCCTTATTATTTTATGTACCATTACCAAACATTGCCAATTAAACCATGCTTTCTTACCACTTAAAATTTTATTTTATTAATGAAAAGAGCTCTTTCAATCTTACATAGTTATAGATATTTTTCTTTATGCAGGCCCTTTCTGTTTTGTAAATTTTGATTTTTACAGAATTTGAAACTTATAGACAAGTTCAGTATAAGACATTTCTATGTAAGCTTTACCCAAATTCTCTAGTAGTTTACATTGTGCCCTACTTGCTTATTCGTTCTCTCTTCCCCCTTCATACATATCTCTATATGTATAGTTTTTTTCTGAACTATTTTAGAGTAAGCTGGTGGCATCATGCCTCTTTATCACCAAACATTTCAGGGTGTATTTCCTATGGATAAGGACATTCTCTTACATATGCATAATACAGTTGCCAAGTCAGGAGATTTAACATTTATGTGAGAGTATTATCTGTCCATATTCAAATTTCAGATTTTATCAATTCTCCCTATATTAGTTTTTATAGCTATTTACCCCTCTGTTTCAGGATTCCAGGATCACATAGTGCTTTTATTTATTTATTTAAAAACATTTTTTTAATTCATTTTTGAGAGAAAGAGACAGAGCACCAGTTGCAGTGGGGCAGAGAGAGAGGGAAACACAGAATCTGAAGCTGTCAGCACAGAGCCTGACACAGGGCCCGAACCCACGAACCACGAGATCATGACCTGAGCTGAAGCTGGACACTTAACTGACTGAGCCACCCAGGCGCCCCCCTCACATGGTGCTTTTAGTTGTTGTGTTCTTTTAGACAACTTATAATTTGAAACAGTTCTTTGTTTTTCTTGACCATGATATTTGAGCAGATGCCAGTCAATCAGTAGAATGTTCTTCAGTTTGGTTTGTCTGACATGTACTTATGATTAGATTCAGGTTATATACTCTTGTCAGGGATGATATGGAAGCAATACCGTAACCTCATTGCACCGTATAAAGAGGTACATGATTAAACATAGATGTTTAAAAATAATATATCATTTGTGTGTATATATTTATAAGGAAAATATAAGTGACATAAACTATCAAGGTGTTTCTTAAACATTCACATTCAGAGTGTTTACCTCCTAAAATGGGTTTTTACTGACAAGACTGTAATAAACACTGATGATACTCCTTATCTTCTGCCAGATGCACAAACTACTGCATATGCTGAAGAAGGAACAGACTATTTACAATACAGTATTTCATGAACTTATTCGACAAGTCAGTGTGGACTGTGCAGATAGAGGAGAACTACTGTCCAAAATCAGGTTAGAGCCATTATTGGGATATCCTGGTTTTCTTTTGAGTTTTATGTTACAATTATGTTTATATCTGTTTTTGAGCAAATCACAAAAGTTCCCTTCTTTTTTTTTTTTTTTTAATTTTTTTTTTTCAACATTTATTTATTTTTGGGACAGAGAGAGACAGAGCATGAACGGGGGAGGGGCAGAGAGAGAGGGAGACACAGAATCGGAAACAAGCTCCAGGCTCTGAGCCATCAGCCCAGAGCCTGACGCGGGGCTCGAACTCCCGGACCGCGAGATTGTGACCTGGCTGAAGTCGGACGCTTAACCGACTGCGCCACCCAGGCACCCCAAAAGTTCCCTTCTTTATCCTATTGGTAACAAGGAACTGAATTGCATTTCTGTTATTTTTTCTATAGTAAAAATATAATAGTTGAGAACTTCCTTAAGATGATTTCTGTTGGGATGTTTGATACCATAGTCTTTTATGATTAGGAGTGAAGTGCTATGTGAAATACTAGAGAAAGTATAGATTTTGGAGACAGACTGATCTGGTTTAAATCATCATGTAGATGTGTGACTTTGGTAAAAGTGTGAGCCTTAGTTTCCTCATCTGTAAATGCAGGTAATAACTACTGTGAACATATTCTTTGCCCATTTGTTCATTCATCACTCAGTGATGTCTGTCGAGTGTCTGTGTCAAGCCTTAGGATGCTTCATAGGATTGTCATGAGAAGTAGATGCTCAGTACATATAATTATTACAGATGATCCTGATAAATACTGTTGTCGTATAATGCTTCTTATGACTGTGGTACTTTACAAAAAGCTGGAAGGAATAGTGGAATTAGAATACTGGGTTCAAATTTTGTATCTACAGTTTACTTGCCATGGAACCACAAGCAAATTATTAGATCTCTCTGAATGAGAATTAATAACATAAATTTGCCCTATTTGCCTGCTGTCTGATTTTTGGAAGCTGAGTCCTCCTATCTGATGGTGCTGAGAAACGAAGAGCAAAGCCATTAATAAGAGACTGGTCAAGATTAGATACTAAGGAGTAGGTTCTTAGAGCACCTCAACAGCTGGAAAATGCAAATTAGAATGAAGAAAGGGACAGCTGAAGTTTGAGTTGTCATTCTAAGAACAAAGCCTGGGATAGATGAGGAAGCACGGTAAAGGAGCTGGATGACTCAGAGTGGGTCCAGACTTGCCCCTTATCAGGAGTAGGGATGAGTGGGACTCTTCCAGCTGATTTCAGGAATTAGCTTCTAGGGGCCCAGATCAGGTGGGGTTCTATCCTAGGAAGTCTGACAGAAAGAGACAGGCAGGCAAGCCAAAACCAAAAATCCCCACTTCTTTCAAGTTTTCTTAGTAAAATATACTGCGTGTGGAAAGCACACTAATTAGTCAATATTGATTTCAAGCCGTATCACCGCCATTACAATGTCATAGAGAACAATTTCATGCCCCCGAGCCCCCACATGTCACCTATTCATTCCTTCTTTATTCCCATTCCCTTGAACCTGTAGCAACCACTGACCCTTCTACTGTCTCTATACTTTTTTCTCTTGCAGAATGTGACATAGTTGGGATCATGCAGCACATAGTCTTTTCAGACTGGTTGCTTTACTCACACTTGAATTTTAACTGCTGACATATTTTCTGACCGTTATTTTGTGGAATTCATTAAGTTGTGAGCATCGTATCATTGCTTTTGAACAATTTGATTATGATGTGCCTTGGTATAATTTTCTCTATGTTTCTTGTGATTGGTGGTCATTGAGCTTTTTGGATCTGTGAGTGTATGTTTTTCATCAAATACGGGAATTTTTTAGCTAGTTTTTCTTCAAGTATTTTTTTCTACCCTCCCCCCTTTTCAGGGGAGTCCATTTACTCACATATCAGCCCACTGATAATGACATAGTCCTGATACTGTTTTGAACATTTTTTCTTTAAAATATTTTTCTGTTCATTTTCTATAGTTGTTCTACTGCTTGATTGCTTGGTTGCTTGATTTTGGAGAGAGAGAGAAAAGAAAGTGCAAACAGGGGAGAGGGGCAGAAGAAGAGAGAGAATCTTAAGCAGGCTCCATGCTCATCACAGAAGCTGATGTGGGCTTCTATCCCATGACCATGAGATCATGACCTGCACTGAATCAAGAGTTAGACGCTTAACCGACTGAACCATCCACCCAGGGGGCCCTCATTTTGTATATTTTCTACTGTTCTATCTTCAAGTTCACTAATCTTTTCTTCTAAAGTATCTAATCTGCTTTAAATCCCATTCAGTGATGTTTCCAACTCAGATATTGTAGTTTTCATCTCTGAAAGCTCAACTTGGGTCATTTCAAAAATATTTGCCGGGGCGCCTGGGTGGCGCAGTCGGTTAAGCGTCCGACTTCAGCCAGGTCACGATCTCGCGGTCCGTGAGTTCGAGCCCCGAGTCAGGCTCTGGGCTGATGGCTCAGAGCCTGGAGCCTGTTTCCGATTCTATGTTTCCCTCTCTCTGCCCCTCCCCTGTTCATGCTCTGTCTCTCTCTGTCCCAAAAATAAATAAACGTTGAAAAAAAAAAAAATTAAAAAAAAAAAATATTTGCCATGTCTCTACTTAACATTGCAAACATACAAAATATAGTTATAGGTTTTTTTTTTCCCCAAAGCTGATATATATATTTTATAATGGAAGCGAGTACTTTCAGTATTTTTAGTTGCTGCATTTTAAAAACATCTAAAGCTATTTGTGTGGTTCTTCCCAAACCCTCAATCCTGCCATGGGATCCCAGGCCAGGAGGCTATAGGAAGGACTATTGAATTTCTGAATGCAAGAGAATGGTGTCCCTTGCCCAAAGTTTCTCCAAGCAGAGCCAACTGCTCCTCCAAACAGGGCTGATGAGGCTGTCTCAACACCCCTAGGAAGTGGTAATCCTGAAGGCAGTACTTGGAGGGGCGCCTGTCGGATGGGGGAGGTTTCAGGCTAGCCTTCCCCAGATCCCTAACCAGGGTGATCATCACTGGCTACTGTAAGGATCAGGCTGTAAAAATATTTTTGTAGCTCAAGCAGGGACCAGAAGTAATGGGAGATGACTTTCTTCTCTTCTCAGCTGTGGGCATCTCTGCGTACGTCTGCTTGTATCCATCAGGCAGGGGTCCTAGCCAAAGTCCTAGCAGCCTCAGAGCACCACCATCTGGCCCCAAGCTCTGGCCCCTGAACGGGCACAATGGCCTCCTGGGGTCCCTGATGCTGAGCAGAAATGTACAGAGCACATGGGCAAAGTCTGTCCTGGAACCCAGCCAGGAGTTGGTTCAGACTTTAGGCTTTAACTTTTCTGGAAACCACTGTACATAGGGGCCAGGGAGACCCCTGAAAGCGTTGAAGCACAGATTTGTGTCCTCCACCAGTGCAGGCGCCTGTACCTGTAGAGCAGTCTCCTGACGCTTCTATATGGAAATCTCATCAGGTCCACCCTGAGACTTTGGCAAGGCAATTTTCTGTGCCACCAAAGTACATGAAAACTTATCTCCTAGTATCTGAATGACCTCTTCCAGCTTTGAATGTCCTTGTCTGTTAATTCTAACATTTATGCCAGTTCTGGGTGAGTTTTTTTCTCCTCATAGGTGTGTTCTCTGCTTTCTTTGCATGCCTGGTAAATTTGATTGGATGGCAGACATTGTGAGTTTTAGCTTATTGGATGCTGTGTATTTTTGCATTTCTAAAAATATTCTTGAACTTTGATTTGTGACATGATTAAGCTACTTGAAAACAGTTTGGTGCTTTTGGGCCTTTAGGAAGACCAGAACAGTGCTTAATTTATGGCTAATTGTTTGTAAATACTTTGGCAAGACTCTTCTTTGAATCCTAAGTTTTTCCAGACTGGCTGGTTAGAACCAGCACCATTTCTAGCAGTGTGTGAGTGCTGGGTGCTCTTACCTCCCGATCCTTTCAGATGGTTTCTTCCCCAGCCTCAGGTAGTTTCTTCACATTTATGATCTTTCCTGATCTTGATGATGATCCTGATCTTTCCTTAGCTGATTACTTGAGAAGGACCCTCTGCAGACCTCCAGAGGATCTCTCGGAATAGCTCTTTTCTCTCCAGTACTCTGTCCTCTGAACTCTTGTTGCTTTCCTCTCCCTAGGCTCTTAGCTCTGTCTCCTTAACTCAGAGAGTCCGCTGGGCTTCTCCAGCGTTCTCTCTCCTTGTGCTTTGGCCTGGAAACTTTCAAGTCTGCAACTTGGAGCAATCATAGGGCTTTATTTACTTCTAGTCTCTCACTGATTACTCTCTTTCATTGCCTTGTATTCAGTGTCTTGAAAATTTTTATTTCACACGTATCTTGAAAATTGTTTTACATACTTTGCCTTTGTTGTTGTCGACGTCGTCATTGAGGTTATTTCAGGCAGGAGAATAAATTTAGTTCCTCTGGATTTATTTTTATTTTTGTACCTGTATCTATACCACAATCCTATGTATAGGTTAATATCCTTAATAAGTTTTAGAAAATTATCAGTGGTGATCTCTTTGGTAAATATCTGTTCTCCATTTTCTCTGTTTTCTCTTTTTGGAACTCTGATTAAATTTATATTAGACATTCTCATCTGTGCTTTTTGTCTCTTTATCTCTTTTTCATAATTTCCAACACCTTGTCTCTGTACTATATTTTGGGTAGTTTTTTCAAAGATATTAATAAGCGCTTTAGCTGCATCTTTTCTGCTAAAACCCATCTTTTGAGTTTTATAATCAATAATTGTATTATCCACCTAAGAGTTCTGTTGTTTGTTTTTGTATCTGTCTCATCATATTTAATATTTTTTATTGCTCATTTATTTTTAGATTCAATCTTTCATTTCTCAAACATTTCATGGATGGTTTCATATTCTAAATCTCATATTTCTAATATATGAAACTATTAGTATCTAGAATTACTATTTGTTGTTTCTTCTGGGTCTCATTTATGATGGTTTATTTACATATTTTGCAATATTTGCTTTTATAGCTAACATTTGGTTAATCTTAATCATGAAATC